TAAGATATCGAGGAAAGTTCCCTCTATCCCTACACTCTGAAGAGTTTTGATCAGGAATGGATGCTGTATTTTGTCAAATGCTTTCTCTGCATCTAATGAGAGGATCATATGGTTCTTGGTTTTTCTCTTGCTGATATGATGAATCACATTGATTGTTTTACGAGTGTTGAACCAGCCTTGCATCCCGGGGATAAATCCTACTTGGTCATGGTGAATAATTTTCTTAATGTGTTGTTGGATCCTATTGGCTAGTATCTTGTTGAGAATTTTTGCATCCATGTTCATCAGGGATATTGGTCTGTAATTCTCCTTTTTGGTGGGGTCTTTGTCTGGTTTTGGAATTAAGGTGATGCTGGCCTCATAGAATGAGTTTGGAAGTACTCCATCTCTTTCTATCTTTCCAAACAGCTTTAGTAGAATAGGTATGATTTCTTCTTTAAACGTTTGATAGAATTCCCCTGGGAAGCCATCTGGCCCTGGACTCTTGTGTCTTGGGAGGTTTTTGATGACTGCTTCAATTTCCTCCCTGGTTATTGGCCTGTTCAGGTTTTCTATTTCTTCCTGCTCCAGTGTTGGTAGTTTGTGGCTTTCCAGGAATGCGTCCATTTCTTCTAGATTGCCTAATTTATTGGCGTAGAGCTGTTCATAATATGTTTTTAAAATCGTTTGTATTTCCTTGGTGTTGGTAGTGATCTCTCCTTTCTCATTCATGATTTTATTAATTTGAGTCTTCTCTCTCTTCTTTTTAATAAGGTTGGCTAATGGTTTATCTATCTTATTAATTCTTTCAAAGAACCAACTCCTGGTTCTATTGATCTGTTCCACAGTTCTTCTGGTCTCAATTTCGTTGAGTTCTGCTCGAATTTTAATTAACTCTCTTCTTCTGCTGGGCGTCGGGTCGATTTGCTGCTTCTTCTCTAGCTCCTTTATGTGTAAGGTTAGCTTTTGTATTTGAGTTCTTTCCAGTTTTTGAATGGATGCTTGTATTGCGATGTATTTCCCCCTCAGGACTGCTTTTGCTGCATCCCAAAGATTTTGAACAGTTGTATCTTCATTCTCATTAGTTTCCATGAATCTTTTTAATTCTTCCTTAATTTCCTGGTTGACCCTTTTATCTTTTAGCAGGATGGTCCTTAACCTCCACGTGTTTGAGGTCCTTCCAAACTTCTTCTTGTGATTGAGTTCTAATTTCAAGGCGTTATGGTCTGAGAATATGCAGGGGACGATCCCAATCTTTTGGTATCGGTTCAGACCCGATTTGTGACCCAGTATGTGGTCTATTCTGGAAAAAGTTCCATGTGCACTTGAGAAGAATGTGTATTCAGTTGAGTTTGGATGTAAAGTTCTGTAGATATCTGTGAAATCTATCTGGTCCAGTGTATCATTTAAAGCTCTCGTTTCTTTGGAGATGTTGTGTTTAGAAGACCTATCAAGGGTAGAGAGAGCTAGATTGAAGTCACCAAGTATAAGTGTATTATTATCTAAGTATTTCTTTACTTTGGTTAATAATTCGTTTAAGTATTTGGCAGCTCCCACATTCGGGGCATATATATTGAGGATTGTTAAGTCCTCTTGTTGGATAGATCCTTTAAGTATGATATAGTGTCCCTCTTCGTCTCTCACTACTGTCTTCGGAGTGAATTTTAGTTTATCTGATAAAAGGATGGCTACCCCTGCTTTCTTTTGAGAACCATTTGAATGGTAAATGGTTCTCCAACCTTTTATTTTCAGGTTGTAGGTGTCCTTCTGTCTAAAATGAGTCTCTTGTAGACAGCAAATAGATGGGTCCTGCTTTTTTATCCAGTCTGAAACCCTGCGCCTTTTGATGGGGTCATTAAGCCCGTTCACGTTCAGAGTTACTATTGACAGATATGAGTTTAGTGTCATCATGATATCTATTTAGTCCTTGTTTTTGTGGATTGTTCCACTGAACTTCTTCTTAAAGGGGAATTTTAAGAGTCCCCCTTAAAATTTCTTGCAGAGCTGGTTTGGAGGTCACATATTCTTTCAGTTCCTGCCTGTCTTGGAAGCTCTTTATCTCTCCTTCCATTTTGAATGAGAGCCTTGCTGGATAAAGTATTCTTGGTTGCATGTTCTTCTCATTTAGGACCCTGAATATATCCTGCCAGCCCTTTCTGGCCTGCCAGGTCTCTGTGGAGAGGTCTGCTGTTACCCTAATATTCCTCCCCATGAAAGTCAGGGACTTCTTGTCTCTTGCTGCTTTAAGGATCTTCTCTTTATCTTTGGAATTTGCAAGCTTCACTATTAGATGTCGAGGTGTTGAACGGTTTTTATTGATTTTAGGGGGGGATCTCTCTATTTCCTGGATCTGAATGCCTGTTTCCCTTCCCAGATTGGGAAAGTTTTCAGCTAGGATTTGTTCAAATACATATTCTGGCCCTCTGTCCCTTTCGGCGCCCTCGGGAACCCCAATTAAACGTAGATTTTTCTTCCTTAGAGTGTCATTTATTTCCCTTAATCTGTCTTCATGGTTCTTTAATTGTTTATCTCTTTTTTCCTCAGTTTCCCTCTTTGCCATTAACTTGTCTTCTATGTCACTCACTCGTTCTTCCACCTCGTTAACCCTCGTCGTTAGGACTTCTAGTTTGGATTGCATCTCATTCAGTTGATTTTTAATTTCTGCCTGATTGGATCTAAATTCTGCAGTCATGAAGTCTCGTGAGTCCTTAATGCTTTTTTCTAGAGCCACCAGTAGCTGTATAATAGTGCTTCTGAATTGGCTTTCTGACATTGAATTGTAATCCAGATTTTGTAGCTCTGTGGGAGAGAGGGCTGTTTCTGATTCTTTCTTTTGAGGTGAGGTTTTCCTTCTAGTCATTTTGCTCAGTGCGGAGTGGCCAAAAACAAGTTGTATTGGGAAAATGAGAGAAAGAGAGAGAAGGAAAGAAAAGAGAAAAAGAAAAAAGAAAAAGAAAAGAAAAAGGAAAGAAGAGAAGAAAAAGGGAAAGAAAAAGAAAGAAAGGTGAAAAAAAAAGGGGGTGGGGGAAGCAATCAGAAATCAAAAAGAAAAGAAAAAAGAAAAGAAAAAAAAAAACACGGGGGAGTATTTCTGTAGAGTTTAAGTCCCTTGACTTCCCCTGGAACTGGTCCGTCCAGCTGGTCTTCTGGGGGAGGGGCCTGTTGCGCTGATTTTCAGGTGTTAGCACTTGGGGGAGCTGCTCTGCCCCTGCCTGCTGCAGGGCTCAGCGGGGGTTGTTTACCCCGTGAGGTCTCAGGAGGATCAGCCGCAGTTGCTATGGCAACTCTGGAAGCCTGGATTCAGCCTCCGCAGGAACTATGGGGCTCGGGGCTCTAGGCTCTCCGTCCGCAGGGCCTGGAGGCTCCGGGGCGGGGCCGCTGATCTGCTCAGCTCGGGGCAGGAGCGTCCTTGCTGTCCTGGGCCCTCCCGGCCTCTGCCTGTCCCGGGGGGAGGCCGGATCCTGGGCTGTGTCCCGGCGCCCTGTGCTCCCGGGCCTGTGTTGTTGGATTCGCGCTCCCGCCCCGCAGCTCCCTCCCTGGAGCCGCTCCCGAGCCCCTCCGAACTGCTCCGGTGCGTGCTGCAGCCCTTAGGGAGCTCGGCGCACTCTCCAGGGGCGCAGGTGTCTGTTAGTGTCCCCGGGAGCCCAAGGGCATCCCCGCTCTCCTGGGTCCTGCTCCAACTCCCTGCGAGCCCCTTGCCGCCCGCCCGGGAAGGTTGGTGCAGCTCCTGCTCCTCCGGGACGGGGCTCTCCTGTCCTGGGGACACTCGCCCCGGCCTCAGCCCGGCTCCTCGCGGGGCCCCTCCCCCTCGGAGGCCTTTTGTTTCTTTATTTCTTTTTCCCCGTCTTCCTACCTTGATAGAAGCGTGAACTCTTCTCACTGTAGCATTCCAGCTGGTCTCTCTTTAAATCTCAGGCCGAATTCGTAGATTTTCAGGATGGTTTGAAGGTTATCTAGGTAATTTGTTGGGGACAGGTGATTTGGGGACCCTACTCCTCCGCCATCTTGCCCCTCCTCCAGTACCTGTGTTATTAAGGCAGTAAACCTTGAGACTCCTAGAGTACATCAAACTGGCTATCACTGCTATCATTGAGTATCACTGGTTGTCAGACCAGGATGGGCAGAGCTTTTTATGAGTCATCTCGAAGAAATTGATGCTAAAAGAGATTAAGTTAAATAAGCTCTGAAAGAACACGCACATCTCTTATTTTAAATATGTTCATTTTTCATAGTTCATTTACTGTGAAGATGCTGTATATGTCAGCTTATCATTTTCAACACTAGGTCCATAAAAAATCAAGGGCATGATTCCTGAAATTATGCTTCATCTAATTAAAACTAGTGAACACTACTAAATCAGATGAAACCTGCCTCAATGATTTTGACTCAGTCTGTTTTTTATAATGATAGCAGATGTTACTAGTAATATTTTGTAGTGTATCAAATTTTGAACCTAATAAAATGTTAAATTTGGCTTTTGTTGTTGTCATCCATCTTAATGGCCCCTTCCAGTTATTTTTGATATGCTGTCATAACTGAAAACAATAAACAAAGCAGATGATTGGGGTAGATTCAAAGTGTCAGTGTGATCACAAATGCCTGAGTCACTGCCCCAATAGTAACACTTACTACTTCAGATTTTATTGTAGTGAACATGAAATAAGTTATAGTGAGATTTTACCTGTTATCACCTCTTTCCTTAATCTCCATGTTATTACATCAGGGAAGATGCCATAACGGATAAAGATTCCATGATAAAAGCTTTGCAGAGATGGTTACTCCAGTATTCCTCTTTGTTTATTGAACTTTTTCAAGCCCTCTTAACTCAGGAAACATTTTATGGTAAAGGAAGGAATTTTTTTTTCCAGAAAATGCTTATTTTGCTCACTTGATGAACTTCAGGCCAATGTATGTTTTTTTTTTTTCAATATATGTTATTTGAGTGAAGCATCTTCCTTCTCTGTGTGTCCTCCACCCCTGTCATTAACCTGTAATATGCTATCTGGAATGTGGACTAAACTCTTCAACACTATTTAAAATCTACTAACCTTTGTGCATTTGGTTGCTCAGCTTTCTAAGAACATTTCTGAGCTGAAATAAACTCAATACCATTCTGTTTTAGAGATTATGTCATGGCTATTCATTGGATATGAATTCTTATGGCTTTATTTTTCTTTCCAAGGTTGAAGAGATGGTGCAAAACCATATGACTTATTCATTACAGGATGTAGGTGGAGATGCTAATTGGCAGTTGGTTGTAGAAGAAGGAGAAATGAAGGTAATTTCCAGTAAAATATTATAGGTTGCTAATTGCAGATGTTATAGCATATTATCATCACTAACCATTGATGTGAATGAGGGTAGCATTTTAAATTTTCTTTTAAACAGATTATTACATATGATCAAAAAACCACTAGATACTAGGAAGTAAAATGTACTTTGGCTTTTACACAGTTTCTTTATGATCTCAATAAAAACCAATGTACAAACCATTCTGTTTTGCCTGGGCCATGGAGAAAATACAATATGGGTGTTTAGATGTTAGGAAGTCATAATTAGTTGATGGTTTTCTATTTGGATATTTCTCTTTATTTTTTAATATACTAAATGTTGTACCCAGATGTCACTTTGTTCCCCTTTTTGGTCTATATATCACTTTTATCCTTTCTCTCACTGCATCTTCTATCAGTATTTGGAGGTGAGTCTGCTAATTTTGTTCACATCTGTAAGCACAAGAGACAGAGAATAAGATCAAGGAATAAGATTTAGAGATGGATTCAAAACAGCAGCTGCACTGAATTTTGATATTTGAATTTGGTATACTTATGCCCAAGGCGCTGTGCTAAAGATAAAGTGATGTTTAATAAGACTTTCTCCAAACTGAAACTCGTTGGGGAAGAAGGATATTGACATTTAAAGATACTGTTACTTGTGTCTATCTGATAACATATTGAATTATGCGCACAGATTAGTGGAGAAAATTGGAAAAGAAAGAGCTCTTATATGAAACAGATTGTTTTTTACTGGATAAGCATTTGAACTATGTCTGGAAATCGAAGCAACATTGTGACAAAGGTGAAGCCAAGGGTATTTTAGACAAAAAATATAACACAAATGAAAACATGAAAGCAAACTTCTTACTCAGGAATTCTTTTCATAGACTGTGTTTACCACAATTATTCTAGCAATAGAGATACAATATCAGATGTTGGAATTTCCTTTCCTCCTGAATAGGGAACTAATTAAGAAATCAGAAGAGATGGGGTGGCTCAATCAATTAAGCGTCTGCCATCAGCTCAGTTCATGATCCCAGGCTCCTGGGATCAAGCCCCTCATAGTGCTCCCTGCTCAGTAGGGAGTCTGCTTCTCGCTCTCCCGCTGCCCCGTATCCTCACTGGTGCTCTGTCTCTTGCTCTGTTCTCTTTCCCAAATAAGTAAATAAAATCATTAAAAAAGAAGTAAGAGACAAGCAAATGAGATACCAGAATGCTAACTATAAATTTAATAAGCTAATTGAAGAATATGGCTTTAGATCAGCAGCCACAAAGTCTTGCTAATATATTAACTCAAAATTAAACAATGTTTCTGACATAGCTAGATAATCAATCACAGGCCTTCTCCACAAGTGTAAGCCCCAAAAGAAAACCAAGATGCATGCTCTATGTAGAAAAAGAAGTGAGCCAAGACTTCCAGTCCTTATTTTATTCTCAACAGTTGGATAATTCATTGTTGTACCCCGAGGAAGGGAGAAGTGAAAGGGTGAAGAAAAACCAGGAGTGATCGTCTAGATGAAGTCCCTCCATGTGGAATGAAAAACAGAGAATAAATGTTCCTACAGCCCACAACACTAGAGAAAGAGAGAGAGCTTGGATTATGGAGAGTATAAAATAGCCTACCAAGGAGAATAGTCTCTTGTCTGTAGCAGTAGGCTAGCCACTATATAAGGAAGAAACTAAAGACCAAGCATACCATTTAAGAGAATCAGGTACATGGGGATGAAAGCTTACCTAAGAGAAGTAACCAGTAATAGAGAAGTCAAGCTGTTGGATGTCTTATAGAAGGTTAGTAACAAGCTTAAGAGCCATATGAAGTATGAGGAGAGGATTTAAAAGTCTGAAGTTTCCAATTTGTGTAACTGGTTTTCCATTTTTTAGCCATCTCAAGAATGTGAATAAATAAACATGGAGGGAAAAGTAGTTTGATGAGAAACATTTTAAGAGAGAAACTGTATGTGAAATGCCAAAGATTTTAAGAGAGAAACTGTATGTGGAATGCCTAACAGTTTCTGGACCCATAAAGCACTCCATAGAGAGCTGGTTCTTCCTACAGTAACATGATTATTCATTTCTTGAAAGAACTTATTGCAAAATTTCCTAAAGTAGCAAACCCTATAATTTTGAGGTAATTAATTTTAGAACTTTAGGTACGCAACATCAGTATTTAAAGCAAGATAGTATGGGGCGCCTGGGTGGCTCAGTCAGTTAAGCCTCCAACTCTTGATTTCGGTTCAGGTTATGATCTCGGGGTTGTGAGATCAAGCTCTGTATTGGGCTCTGTCCTGGATGTGGAGAGCCTGCTTAAGATTCTCTCTCTCTCTCTCTGCCCCCCTTCCTCAGACCCTCCCTCCTACTCACATGCAAAATGCTCTAAGGAAATAAATAGCCAAGGTAGCATAGATCTTCATGCCATTTTAGCTTTGAGTCATTGATTCAACAAATAATTGAGAGCCTACTGTGTTTGAGATACTATTTTAGATGCTGGGTATGTAGAATTGAACAAAATTGCTTTAAATCAATATCATTAGGGGATCCCTGGGTGGCGCAGCGGTTTGGCGCCTGCCTTTGGCCCGGGGCGCGATCCTGGAGGCCCGGGATCGAGTCCCGCGTCGGGCTCCCTGCTTGGAGCCTGCTTCTCCCTCTGCCTGTGTCTCTGCCTCTCTCTCTCTCTCTTCTCTGTGTGTGACTATCATGAATAAATAAATAAAATCTTTAAAAAAATCAATATCATTAAGGAGATGATTTTTTTTATATGTTGCCTGTTAATTAAGGAGATGATTTTTTTTATATGTTGCCTGTTAATTTTAAGTATATCTTCTTTAGGTATATAGAAGGGAAGTAGAAGAAAATGGAATTGTTCTGTATCCTTTGAAAGCTACTCATGCAGTGAAAGGTGTTACAGGACATGAGGTCTGCAATTACTTCTGGAATGTTGATGTTCGCAATGATTGGGAAAGTAAGCTGCCACTATTAATATATCATAATATAATTATTATTTTGAATGTAATGTCAAATCCAACCCCATGTTTTGCATCTCATCTACAGTTTACAAAGTCAATGTAGAAAGTATCTGGAAAATCTGATAGTAGCTTGCATTTACTTTTTGTTTTTACTTACATTTAAATAGAGCTTTACAGGGAAGTAATGCTTGTACAGTGAAACACTGTACAAAATGTTTCTGTGTTACGGCATTTGATCCAGTACTTCAATAATCCTGCATGATAAGTAGGTAAAAAAGTAAAAATCAGGATTAAGTGACTTGTCAGAAGCCACAGACCCTAGTTAGTAGAAAGGCCAGTACTAAAACTAAAGGTTTCTGTCTTATCACCTACTTTCCCAAACTGTTTTGTTTCTCTAGTAATCCCGAGACAAATCCTGCTGTGGTCTGCTTAGAGTTATTCTTGGGGTATGTTTGTTGTTTGTATGTATTTGTTCCTCTTAGGCACCAAATTTCATAAATACAGATAATTTCGAACATCGTAAGATGTGTATTAGTGATAGTTTGATATTCTTTTTCCACAAATATAGTCACCTAAGCCTAGACAGAAGAGTTTATTCAACTTCAGTAAATTAGAGGTTACAGGAAATGGTCATAGTGTTAGATAGGAATTTGTGTCTGAGTAATGCAGTGTGATTAGAATTGCTTTCTTATTGTGGGAGCTAGATAATTGGTCCAGAGGAAATGAGATTTCCTGGTGATCAAGCCTCATGGCCACTGTCTGTAGCCCTAGTAGCAAGTATTAACTACCTTCCATTTGAACTTGGTCCTGCTCATGTTATCACAGGGTCCAGCAATATAACTGAGTTAATCACATTCTAGGAAGAGGTAATGTATATTTTTGGCTACTAATATTTTTTTCTTCATTTCAGCAACTATAGAAAACTTTCATGTGGTGGAAACATTAGCTGATAATGCAATCATCGTTTATCAAACACACAAGGTAAAAATCTCTTCATCCCAAAAGGATTTCACTGTAGTTCAAAGTGAGACATGTATAAATTCTCTAAAAGTAAAATTTGGCAGGAAATCAAATGCCGTAAAAGATCCAAAGACTTTGTTAATGATGCATGAACATCACATATTTGAAAGGATATCAGTTCATTCAAAGATGAACCTAAGACAAGAACCTGAGAAATATCCAGAAACAGTGTGTTTGATAAAGATCTCCAGTTAGTTATGTCCACTTAAAATTTAAAAAATACTGAAATCCTGTTAAATATTTTTGTAGCGTCTAGTCTTTATAGGCGATGAGTGATCATTACCAAATACAAAAGTGAATCAGCATTTCCTGTGACCATAGTAATGAAGGGAATGGAAAGTATGTATGTTAAGTCATGTAAGTGGATTATCTGAAAGCATGGGGAAATTGCTAAGCATAACTATTAAGAAGTTGGTCATATACCAGAGCACACAGAAACATCATTTAAGTTAGTTCACTTTCTTCCTTTTCTTTTTTTTTTTACTGGTTTTATTTATTTATTTATTTGAAAGATACAGAGATAGAGAATACGAGCAGGAAGGAAAGGAAAAAGCAGACTCCTTATGGAGCAACTTGCTCAGTGCAGGGCTTCATCCCAGGACCCCCGGGATTGTGATCTGAGCTGTAGGCAGATGCTTAACCAGCTAAGCTACCCAGGTGCCCCTAAATTGGTTCACTTTCATTTCACTTTTCCTTCATCTCTTTCTCTGCTATTCTTAGATATTTAAAATTAAAGAATTAATATTTCTCTTACCTTATTCTTCTCTGTTTCCTGAAAATTGCCGAATAATATATTGTGTAAAAAAACGATAAATGGGGATAGTATGTGGGAGGAAGGGGAAAATAAATGAAGGGAATTAAGAGGTGCAAACTTCAAGTTATAAAAAGTAGAGCATAGGGAAGGTAGTAATATTTGTAATAAGGTTACAATAACAGATGATGACTACACCTTTTGTGGTGAGCCCTGAGTAATATATAAAATGGTCAAATCAGCATGCTGTATACCTGAAAATAATATAACCTTCAATTTTTAAAAAGGAAAATAATAAAAAGGACCTATAATTTTAGAAAGATCTATTCAATGTAATATTTTATGTTATGTAAGAAATACAATAATTCAATAGGTGCTTCCCTTTTCTCTTCTTTAAATGACTTTTTAGGGGCACCTGGGTGGCTCAGTGGTTTGAGCATCTGCCTTTGGCTCATGATCCTGGGGTCCTGGGATCGAGTCCCACATCATGCTCCCTACAGGGAGCCTGCTTCTCCCTCTGCCTATGTCGCTGCCACTTTCTGTGTGTCTCATGAATAAATTTTTTAAAATCTCAAAAAAATAAAAAAATAAATGACTTTTTAATTGGGTTGAATATATGAAAATATTGTGGGTTTGTTAGGTATTTCCTGAACTCAGTTTTGTCATGTGGGGCATCTTAAATGTAATGATTATGAGGTAGGCCTGATTTTACATGGTAGCTGCTTAAGAAATGTGTAAAAAATACATTATAGGTCAACTTTGCTTCAATTAAAAAAGAAGTGTATAACAACAAAGATTCTGCTTTAGCATACAGATTTGGGGAGTCCAAGGGAAGCTTAAAGTTGAGTAAATGTTAAAAATACCGATTAACTGCCTTTAATTTGGAATCAATAGAAATTACATAGAAGAATCTTATAATCTGAGGACAATTGATCTTGGGAAACAGTCTGCTGAAAATATTTCACTTCGTAAATAGTAGATGGAGGGAAGGATTTAAGTAAGCTGTATTACAATCACTTTTTGAAAAATAAAGCTGAAAACTATTAATGTCTCTTCAATGTAACAAAATTTAAGTTAGAATTATAAATGTTTAAATAAACAAATTATCCTGGTATAATTTTTTTTTCAAAAATTCAGTAATGCTATACAATTTTTCCTTTAAATGTGGCTTATTTTATAATTTGATCTTAAAGAGGGCTACTTCTCTCCTGATCTTTAAGTCATTCTCACTCTTTAATTTTTCATCTTCTCATTCTTGTGGACTTGAATTCATTAATTCTAACACAGTCAAATTTTCCTTTATTACTAGCTTCACATAGCAGTGCTCAGCACTGCTTTCATGTATTTTGTGAAATTTATTATCTTTAATATATGAACCATTTCACTTTCCAAATGATTTGTGTTGTATTGACATTGAGTTGTTGGTTATTATACTCAACAATTAGGAAAGGCACAGTGTATATTTTCTGTCATTTAAAAGTACACAGTCTGTTTTCACAAATCTCATTTCCATTATCATCCCAACATGATGTGTCTCCCTGCATACCATAAAGTTGAAAGATTCAGTCTAATTGATTTGGTATTCTTCAGATGTGATTACGATGTCAAAGGAGCAGTCTTCTTACACTGAAATCTTAGCGTTTAAGTCTCTGAACACTTTAAACAGAGGTTGAATACTGAAAAGCAGAATGTTAGGGGCGCCTCAGTGCCTCAGTTGGTTAAGCATCTCCCTCTGCCTTTGGTTCCAGTCGTGATTCCAGCCAGAGTTCTGGGGATAGAGCCCCTGTGGCTGACTCTCTGTTCTGCGGAGAGCCTGCTTAACGCTCTCCTCCCCGCTGGTGCTCTTTCTCTCAAATAAATTAAAAATCTAAAATAAATAAATAAATAAAATGAAATAGAACTTTACCAGGGTCTTTGGGAGGGAATAATGGGGAATTAATTACTTATTGAGTACAGAATTTCTGTTCAGGTTGATAAAAAATTTTGGAAATGATGATGTTTATGTAATATTATGAATGTAATGTCACTGAATTATACTCTTAAAAATGCTTTAAGTGGTAACATTTTTGTTACATATAACCACAACTTAAAAAAAAGATTATCCCTTTGATGCTATTATTATTCTGCAAAGCCATTAATTCAGTATTCATAATTTACTTTGCTGGGTACTTTCAGATACTGTCAATTTAAAATTGACAGATTTTACCTTTGCCTAAGTTATTTATTGGTCTTACATTTGTTTCTCTGTCAGTTTCATATTACATAGGAATTTAAATGTAGTTCACATTTTTGAAAGTTTTTTTACTTCTTCCACAGAGAGTGTGGCCTGCTTCTCAGCGAGATGTATTATATCTTTCTGCCATTCGAAAAATACCAGCCTTGACTGAAAATGACCCTGAAACTTGGATAGTGTGTAATTTTTCTGTGGATCATGACAGTGCTCCTGTAAGTGCATTTATATAAATTTGTATAGTTGTACAGTATGAAGCTAAATATACAGTGCAGAACGAAAGTGATAAACACATAGGACACACACAAATACTTGATAACATTTCTTAGACTTTGTTTTCTGTTGAATTGGCTTCTTGGGACATGATAGCCCATGTGTTATCCAAGGACAGCAGTCATGGCTGTGAACACCCACCCAGCAGGGGCTGTTTTCCTTTCCTCCTGAAGTTAGAGGAAACAGAACTGAATGGGTAAATAATGGAAGGCTGCTTTCCACAGTTCCCTCTCCAGCCATGATCAACTGCTAGCAAAACCTCTGTGGTTTCTATCTCAGTTTAGCTCCATCTACTGCTTAAGAGGAGAGAAAAAACATTCCTGATGTCATAACAGCTTGTTTTATTTATTGGTGCTTATAAGATTTGTTGCAGATGTTGATGAGCTGTAGTTTTAGATAACCTAATGTATTAGGCCATTAGGGATTATAAAATGCTAAGCATCTACTGCACTGATGTTTCGTTTCTGTTATTTGTTTTGGCAGCTAAACAATCGATGTGTCCGTGCCAAAATAAATATTGCTATGATTTGTCAAACCTTGGTAAGCCCACCAGAGGGAAACCAGGAGATCAGCAGGGACAACATTCTATGCAAGATTACATATGTAGCTAATGGTATGTATTTTGGGGTTTCTTTTGCTATTTGGGCATGTAGATTTTCATTCAGTCATTCACTATTATTTTAGTGATCTCTACACCCAACATGCGGCAACAACTCCTGACCCCCGAGATCAAGAGACACATGCTCTTCCAACAGAGCCAGCTAGGCACCCCTAGATTTTCTTCTTATATATCTAAAAGCCTTTTTAGTTTTTATCATTTAGATTAGTAATTTTTAATTTGGAGAGATGTGTATTGAAATTATCAGGAAACTTTGAAAATAGTCACGTCTAAATTTGATCCCAGAACTACTCTATCAGATTTTTTTTAGGCTGGGGCTAGGTAGATACATTTTAATACTTCCATATCTAGATGACTTTCACATATGCTTGGCTTTACGAACCATCTTACTATAGGGGCGCCTGTGGTTTGGTCAGTTGAGCATCTGCCTTTGGCTTGCATCATGATCCCGGAATCCAAAGATTGAGTCCCGCTTCGGGCTCCCTGCTTGGTGGGAGTCTGTCTGCTTCTCCTTCTCTGTTTCCCCCTCCCCCTGCTCATCCTCTTTCTCTCACTCTGTCTCTCAAATAAATAAAATCTTAAAAAAAAATCTTGTTACATATTTGTCTAATAAAATACATGTATAGTTAGGAATATAAGCAATACTAGTAAAGGAAATGAACAGTTCTGTTTCTCATTGTCAGGCTTTTTTTATTTCCTGGATAATTGCCTGCTTAGGATTCTTCTGACCCATTTCCCACCTACAGTAGTCATTGGAGTCCCTCTAATCAAATCCTCATGCCTTCTTTTTACGGGGACACAACTGCTACGGTGTTGAGTGATGTATTATTTGATTATAGTAAGAGTGACAAATCTATCTTACATAACCTAAAATGTTACTATATTAAGATTTGCTTATAATTTAGGGAGCAAAGAACATCTCAGATAGGTAATAGGTGCCTTCTTATTTGCTATGTGTTCTTGTGTGGTGGTTAGCATGAAGGAATTAATGGTCAGGATTTTAAGAGATGTTAACTGTTCCAATGTGAGAAATTTTTTAAAAGCAAAGGAACAAAATGAGTGTTTTACATACAAATGGAGAATTGTATCCCAACAGGTTTTAATTTCCCTTTATCTTGCAGTGAACCCTGGAGGATGGGCACCAGCCTCAGTATTAAGGGCAGTGGCAAAGCGAGAGTATCCGAAGTTTCTAAAACGTTTTACGTCTTATGTCCAAGAA